GAAGATATGAGCAATATCAGCCGACGGAACTTTGCAGTTCTTGAGTTGTCTCAGTGCATAAAGCCGTCTGTTGGCCTTCTTCACTATGTAGTCGCAGTGCACTGCCCAAGTGAGGTCCTCAGAAAGATGGACACCGAGGAGCTTAAATTAATGTAGAGGCCTGTTCAATATCGGACTCACCAACCGCGATTAAATTGGGCGCGGAACGCAACTATTGTAGTGAAGAAAGTCAACAGTCACGGTCTTGCATTTACGGGGATTGAAGCGCATATTGTCGTTAACAGCAAAAGCGTGGATATAATCAGCTACCTCATTCAATAAGGATGGCGAATTGCGAGGTACAACCTCCAAAACCGTCAGATCATCCACGAATTTAATGCGAGCACCCCAACTTTGAACAAGGTCATTGACCATAACAGCAAACAACACAAGACCCAATTTTGTGCCCTGAGGAATGCCTCCATCTCGATATAAAGGAACAGAAACCGAGGCGCCAGCGAGTGTGACCTGAGCCCTCCCTTGCAAAAAAGATGCGACCCACCTAAGCAAGGTCCAGTGGAGATTGTATTGTGAAAAAACCTTCTCCATTGATATAAGGTGATTAATAAGGTCAAAACCTTTTTTAAAATCGGCTAAAAATAACCTTAGATGGCTACCGCCCCTGTCCAGGGATTCTAAAGCCAGGTGTAAAAGATAGCCTGCTCGGTCGATTTACCAGCTACTACGAATTGGTTTCTATTGAGGTTGCCTGCAATAGATGGATATACTGTAGCTAATGTGAAGCCCTCCAGCACTTTAGCGAGCTGGCATGCGAGAGATTCGCCTCACATCGTCCTCGTTGCACTTGAGAGGGATCACCTCAGGGAGGGGGTGGACTATCGTGCTCTTGAGGAGAGAAGGAATGAAGCCCTCACGAAGCATTGAGTTGTAAAGATTGGTAATAACTGGCGCAAGTTCAAAAGCAAAAAGCTTGAGGAAAACACTATGAATCCCGTCGGATCCAGCCGCCCTCTTGGTTTTGATGTCACGAAGAGCCTTATGCGCCTCCCAATTAGTGACAAATAACGCTTGATGGATACAAGCACCATGAAATCTCGTAATATCAAAGTCTACAGGCATTTGAATGAAAAATAATACAATTCTTTAATCATGTACAATAATGTTCTGCTTCTTTTCTACCTCAGCTTCAAGGGAAAACAAACAAAAAAACTGATTGATAACATATAGTTCAAAAGTTTGCCGCCACGCAAAAATCCCGTTAACTAATATGATAAAAACAGTTGTTGCGGTTCTTAGCCTTAAAGAATACGAACGAGAAGTTTAAAAAAGAAAAAAAAACGGCAACAGCAACAACAACTACAACAACAACAACAACAATCAGCAAGTTGTACAAAAACAAACGTTGACAAATCAAGCCACAGAAGCGTGTTGTCCTTGACGACTATGAAGTAGTACACCGTCGACAAAAAGGGGTAACGACTGCCCTCTATTGCCTTTATTTATTTTTACATCAGAAGCCGGCTTAGAAAAAGCGAACAACTGCTTTCGCAGCGATCATGTGATTACTTATACCGGATGTTACGCCCTTGAATATTATGTAGAAAGAGGGCAAAGCCAGTAGTTCATAAAACAAGTCACAGACTGCGATCCGACACCAAAATGTCCTAAACAGTCGCAGCGATAAAACCGTTGACCGCTGGATGGGTTGATTTCGCTTGAAAGAAGATACATCTGGGCTCGGTCCGTGGAGCATGACACAGCAACTATTCTTTTGTCCTAAAAAATAAAAATGAGAGATATGCTCTTCTGTGGAGGAAGGAATTGTTGCTGTTAACGAACATAGTCGCAACTTATGTCTTGTTTGGCATAGAAATTATTTACGTAGTGATAGTCGTGGCATTAATGCCTCGTTTCTTTTCCGTTATTATATAACATATGTTTTTCTTTTTTTCTTCCTTTTTACTGTAATTGTTGTAATAATAATAATAATTCAATAATAATAATAACAACAACAACAACAACAACAACCTGGCAACAGGTTAAAAACAAAACAAAAACAAAACAAAACATAATAATAATCGCAACTTATTTTGAACGCTCGAACCGAATGGACTTACCGGCCTAAAGAGCGTCAGACGGAATTATATGATTTTGTAGTTATATCGTTAGCTTAGTTTTAACCAAGGAGCATTCTATATTATCACAATCAAACAAGTATTAGAAAATTTTTAAGTGGATTTTTAATCCACGAGTTTAATTGAACTTGATAAACAAACTAATGACACTCGCTGAATGAGCGCAAACATTAAGAGTGATTTTATTTGAACCGTGAAAGAGATAATAACAACTAGAGCAAAAAAGCTACAAATAAACAAAAGACGACATTAGAATTAGTGCATAACAGTGCGTAGTATTCTACTACCTATTTCACGGGTTAAGTAAAATCGCTCTAAAGAACTCACAAAAGTATAATAATAATAATAATAATAATAATAATAATAATAATAATAGTAATAATAATATAATTATTATTAAGATTATCAAGATATTTTGCCATCCTACGATCTCAGAGGAACCAGGGCAAGAGAAGAGCATTTATCTGACATGATTAGCATACTGTTCTTTTTATCAACATATTTTTAAAAGATTTTTTTTATTAACTTTTTATGCTTTTTATAATTGTTATTAGTAGTCGAACATTTATACCTTAATCTGAATTTTTTTTTTTGTTTTTTGTTTTTAATAATAATAATAATAATAATAATAATTATGTCGATCTATCAGGATGTTTTTGAACGGTTTTACTCAACATTTTACTAGAAAAACTTTTACCGAACATTTATACCGTAGAATTTTTGTTGTTGTTTTTGTTTTGCTACTGTCGATCTATCAGGAGTTAACGGTAAGCTGACAAACAAATAATTAACATGGGAGAAGAAAAAAAAACTAATTCTAAAAGTGAAAAATATTATATTATCTAGAAAAATAATGATGATAATGATAATGGTAGTAATTAATAACAATAAAAATAATAGACTTACATTTGGTTCCCCGAGAGATACTTGAATACTAGCACCTGGGTTAATGTTTGTTACTGGATTCTGACTTCCCGTTGAAGAGGTCGTCATATATTCACACAAAGAGAAGTCCCCAGCACCCTGGGGACCCTGTGGTCCGATAGGCCCCTGGGAACCATTGAATCCCTGGGGACCTATTGCACCCTGGGATCCGTTAATTCCTTGGGGTCCTGCTGGACCTATCGGGCCTTGGGAGCCGTTTACGCCAGGAGGACCGACTGGGCCCGGAAGTTTGCTGACATTCTCTACCTGGAAAGAAAATAAATGCTCAGGGCCTGGTTCCTGAAAGGCCGATTAACACTAATCCAGGATTAAAATTTTGTTGCACTTTATCTTCCTATGCCGGCATTGCTTAGAGTAACATTTTGTGTTATCATTTCTTTTTCTCGAAGTAAAGGCACAACGTAATTTTTTAAGCTCATTGGTAAGCTCGAGTTACACTTAGAAAAGAAAACCTTGTTAAAATTTTGCTTAATCCCTGGCTAACCCCATAAGGCTTTTCAGGGTTTTTTCCTGGAGGATAAAACATCAGCACCTGACGTTTTCAGTAGCTGTTAGTTCATCCCTCGCGCAGATTTTGAGACCAGTTTAGTGATTGTCAATTGCTATGGTTACGAGACATGTCGTCATAAGTAGCAAGTGGTCAAGCTAAGTTTGGGTGAAAATGCATGTTTTTTCAACTTCTTTCAACAATAAAAGTAAATCTTGTGGCTAAATCATGGAAAGTGTTTATTTATGTGTTATTTTTCGTGTAAAGCACGAAAAAATACCATTTCTTGCAGTTATAGCCTGTTTCGAATTCTTGGTAAAATCCAAGATGGCGACCATTGTTGGTGACGTCACAGGCCTCCAGCAGCGCCACCACCCATAAAATATACCTCATCTTCTTAAGAAGATCATAATCGTTTCCAAATACTGCAACATCTCAAAAACTCTGGGGAGGGATTCCATCCCCCCCCCCCCTCTTGTACCACGGTGGGGGTATGATTTTGCTTGTACGTCCTAAGGTTACTTAACCATCTTTCGAGGAACCGTGCAAAAAATATATATATATATCTGCTCTTTCTGTTTGTCATCATTTACCTACAACCATAGTTGTAAAAAAGTTTAACACACGTTAAATTCATATCTGTGAGCTGCTAACACCGCACGTCCCCACCCCCTCCCCCCACCCCACAGACAGTGTTGATGCCATCAAGGCAAAATTTCTTCGATCTTTCAACATTGTATTGGGAGGGGAAGAGGGAGGGGTTATGGATTTTGAAAATGAGAGCATTCTTTTTATAACATTGCTTGTGATACACATAGACTACGTACCAATCATCTATGGGAACATTATTTTTTTTCTGCTAGTAGCATTCCTAGAAATTATCTGCAAATCTTAACTGGTCCCAGTTTCGTCCTTATTTCTAAAGAGGCGAATTCATTCTATCAGTACTCCAGCTTGTTTTCTTTTTCGGTCCCTGATATTAAGGGAAAAAAGTGTTTCCTCATAATTTCTCGTCCTTCCCATGGGAAATACACATAGCTCTACAAATTGGTCTAAAAGATAGCAAACCTACAGGGGACACCTTATTTTTGTAAGGCGAAGACAACGTTACCTTTAAGAAGAGGGTGCTGTTAATTTCCAACAAGAGAAACTTCAAGTTGACATCTTCTTCATCAAGTCTTTCTGTTGCGTTTTGTAGCTGTTTGAAAAGTCACTCCATTAATTTTTATCAATAGACAAAGTAATATCTATGGACTAAACGAAATTACAAATTCGATTTCAGTCCTGTTTCAAGAGCAAAAGCAATCAAACGAACTAAAATTTCTTCCACTTATGAAGGAGTCCTCATTCACTGAGAATTAATTTGTTAGAAACTGCGTTCAAGTATCATACGTTTCTCTGAGCCAAACTGCATGCAAACAACCCCAAAAAGTCCGAAAATTTCATGCCCTTGTCTTTTTCAGCAATTCAACCGGGTAACTGCTAGCTCAGAAATAAAAGGTTGCCTTCAAACTCAAAATAATTTCGTGTGAATCGCTTATTTGGGTTTTTGTCAAACTAAAAAAGGGACATGTCCTGTTTCCCTCTTCCATGGGTTGACCAATCAGAAGCGCTAACCAGATGTGGTTAGTTTTTTCGTCATCAGTATGGAATTTTTGCATTCGTTTCCCAGACCACGTCATTTCGCGGTGAAACCAATGGTGGCGTCGCAAAATGTCGACTGTTTTCGCAGGCTAAAAAGGGATATGCAGGATAATCTCACTATAAAGAAGAGAATAAATGATAAACCAATGACTTACCTGTTTTGTCGTTCTTGTCAAAGTTTGGTTTATTTTCTCGCTTTTCTTCTGAGTTTCTTCAAGTGCTGTCGATATCTGGCTCGTGGAAATCTCAAGACTTAAAATCTGGAATATAATCATGCATTTTTGTGATGTTTGACAGCTATTTCCCCAAATTGCCGACATATACCTCCTCTACCAAAATACCTTATACTGTCGCTTATAATTAACCCCCCCCCCCCCTCCCCCAGATATTTATAGGTCCTTCTACCTGTAAACATAAAATAAATCTGGTTATAACCCCAAGATATACCCCACCCCCTCCCCTACAAATGTATTACAATGAATTCTATCTATTAAAACGTTTCGAGGCTTAATTAATTTAAAACTAGTAATTGCAATTTTTGAAAGGGCTTTCTATATTCCGGTTATAAACCCCCGCGGAAATATGCCCCTCCGTATATATTCCCGTCCTAAAATCCCTTACGGAGATGTATAAGCCCAGGGCTTACAAGCGGCACTTCACGAAAACCATTTTTCTTTGTACAGAAAAAAAAATAAAATTAAATAAAAATTTAAAAAAAATTGCTGTCCTATGTCCAAGTTGCTCAGGACCAGATACTCTATTTCGTTCTGTTATAAGCAGCATACGCAAATTTAGAAAGCTGTATTTAAATTTCCTCCAATCATGGCGAGAATATTTGCATACTTATCTCCTTTTTGGACTTAATTCTCTGAATACCGGCCAATGATAGAGACGCAGTTGCTTGTTGCGTTAAAAAGGGACTTTTTGACAGTCTATAATGAAATGCTTGAAGGAATTAATTGAATGGTACCTTTGCTGCGAGAGTCATGTTTATAGACAATAAAGTATGTCTTATCTCCGTGTCTACTCCTATAAGCTCGGTTTTTGTAGAATTGAAGGCTGTCAACAGTTCGTTTTTATTAGCCGATATCTGTAATTATAAGAAAAGCAAAAAGTCACTTTTCAGTTTGACTTTATTAGTATTATTATTATACCTTGTTCCACTATCTGTCTTCTCGTTGGCTAAGAGCCTACAGTTATTTTTGGAAATCAGCGCAACTTACAGATTCTAAAACTTAGTTATCTATAAGTTACTTATCTGTATGTTGCGCACGCAATGCATGATTTTCAAGAGCAATTTCAAACTGTGTTCCATGCGATGCTACGTTGCCCTTCCATGTATTTTCTTCAAAACAATGAGTAATACAACAATTGCTATATTCGGTTTTTGTTATATCCGAAATAATCAAGGTCGAGGTAAGTGTAATCAGCCAGTTATTATAGGAGCCGAAGGCGGGGACTAATAACACTTACCTCGATCTTCATAATTAACATTTATTTCACGAGTACGCGTTGGACATGAGATGGTAGGTAGCAAACGAGGCGCGTAGTGCCGAGTTGGCTATAACTATCTCATATCCAACAAACGCGAGTGGAATAATTGTTTTATTAAAAACGCCCACAAAACCTCGAGAATTCTTCCCGACTTTATTTGTAAAAACAACCAACTGGTTTCCCGGGGAACCTGACATTAAGTGTTTTGTTATATTTCCAGACGTTCACTTCAACAGCAACAAAAGAATAACCGGAGCGAATCAAAACAGTCGGCTCAGTACTTAAAAAAACACAAATTCAATTTTGCGCAAAACCACTAAATGAATGATTTACAAAGCACTTTCCGTATATTATCTACATCTTTTTCCTCCACTAGCTGCTGTTTCTCTTCTGGGATAACGTCAAAGATCCTTGCTTTTTAGCTTGAGGCATCGTGAAGTGAAACACCACTCTTTTTATGCGATGCGCTTATGAATCGAGTATCGCGTGTAACCATGCTAATCAGCTTCCACATCTGCTATTAATCTCGAGCTGTTCCCTTAACTCCTACACCACGTTTTTCCTGTTGTTATTTCTGAAGGAATTAAACTTACCTCTATAGTTATGTTAGTCACTGTTTCATTGAGTCTGCCAATGTTAACTTGAGAAGTCGTCAGAGATGTCGACAACAGACTTGTGACAGAGTCGAGTATATCAATCTAATTCAAAATTTGAGACAGGCAATTTAACTAAACACAATTTTGATAGTTCATTATTTGCATTCTTTCCTTTCCTTTTCTAAAGCCTAAGAAATATCAGATCATTATAAGTTTTCTGAAAAACTGCCACCTACCCCTCCCCTAAGCCAACAAAACACTCTTTTTTCACTCAGAGCAACTTAGGGGAGGGTTAGGTGGGCAGTTTCCCAGAAACGTACGATGATCCGAAGTATTATTGTTCTTTCTCAAAATAGATACAGTGCATTTAAAAAAAAAAAGGATCGATAAGTTAATTATCTTTTATATCGTTTGCCTATGACATTTCAATACGTTTTATCTTATTATAGAAACTATTAGGCTCCACAAGTCTGCGTGTTTAAGGTTGGAGGTTAAAGGTTTGTTTATAGTGGAAAGAGCACTTAGCTTATATATATCCAGCTAGTTTACAGACTCTCCGCTCAAATAATTAGAAACACTGAAATGATCTAAACAGACCATAACAGGATTAAAGACCTCATGCAAAAGGCAGTAGACAAATCTATTGGCTATATTTACAAGCGTGGCCGTGGATTTGAAATCGGGACGGCCGAGAACAAATCCAGCCGATTAATTTAAGTGTCCAGAGCCAGTCTCGAACAAGGAACCACGGGATTAGGATTCCAACGTGTCGTTGGCCACGCTGCCTTCTTAGTTCTGTCTATAGATACGCTTACCATTAACATACTATAAGCTACTGTATATAACAATAACTGATGCTTATGCGTACCCTGTTTTTGAGAGTGGAGTTAACTTGCTCCAAAGTAGCCTGTATATCTGAATCTGCTGCTAGTAGCTCGATTTTTGTTTTGTTAAGATCAGCGGTCAACAGTCCCACTTTTAGAGATATCTGTAAAGAAAAAATGTCATTATTAAGGCTTCATTCTTTGAAATGCTATGAAATAACTGCTAGGGTTGGTAATTAGCGTCACTTACCATTTACATTGGAAAACCGGAAATTGCGATTGGAAAAACAAATGGTTTGCGCCATTTTGGGGGGGAAGCTTAAGGAAATTTCAGCTGTGATTTGAGCTGATTTGGATATACCTTGTAGTTCAACCGAGTCAAATTTTATAGTTTTATCAAGTTTATGCACAAGATTTCCACCCGGATGGTTTACGTAAATGGTAAGTTTCACGTCTTGGGGAGCGTTCAAAGAATTTTCTCGACAAACCTGATCTTTTAATGTCTGATTAACGTGATTAACGTCGAACAGTAAAGCGGAGACCGACGATTGCAATGTGACATCAGTAACATTCAAGTCAAATTTTAATGCTTTTATATCACGATCCAGCTGTAAAAAAATAAAAATTAAATTAAAAATAAAATTAATTGAAAAAAGATTAACTTTGGGATAATATAAGTGCCATCATTATCATCACCGCCATCGTCATCATCATCAGTATCGCGCAATAGACCTGGAAAGGAGTTCTCTTCTCCTTTCCCGCGATCCCTTGCCGGAACCAAAAGCGCTCCAGTCGCTCTTCATTACAAATTCGCTAGAACAGCCCTGTGTAAGATGAAAAAATAGTAAGGTGTCTGACAAAATTAAATCAAGACGTTGGCTAACACATAAACAGTCCAAAACAATGATGTTGTAATGACGTCATTTATTATCAAAGAAGGCGAAGGGGGGGGGAGGGGTTTCCAAAAGCTCTCGGTCTAAATAGGGTTAAATATGAGGCCCGAATGCACCCTCTCAAACTCATTAGTTATTCATGCAGGGAAAAGACGATGAATGTCGACCATTTGGGTCAGGTGCATGAATCTTAATACATGATGAAACACCAGGCAAACCACCACCAAGTTTTCATCTGAGTTGAAACATGTTTTCCACCTGAGATCAGAAACACTTGCATTTTAATGAGATGTTTTATAGGTTAACACAACATCTCACAGAAGCAATGCGATACCATAGAAAACATGTCACTGCATAATTCCTTATTGTTTCATTTCAGAAGACGCTGTATCAAAAACTCGGACTTCGTGCTTTATCACAGGTTTCCAACACCTCGGCGGCCTCCTGTTTTGATCTGTTACAGTGTTTGTAACCCTTGATGAAGCACTCCCCATCGTTTTTGATATTACGTCAAACGTTATTACGACAAACTTACCTTCGTATTCAGTGTATGATTGACTTCAATGAGATTGCTTATCAGCTGGTTATCTCTGTTTTGCAATGCTTCGCTTGTGCTGTTTATTTCGCTTCTCAATGTTACATAATTTTCGTAAACCTTAAATTGAAAGAAGAATGTAACAAAACGTTTTGTTTGTTTCTTTGCTTGTTTTTTGTGTTATGCTATTTTCCATATTTTAAAAAAAGACTGAAAAAGAATTGCCACTTTGTTTTGTTTGCTTTTGTTTCCGTTTCGCTTCTTTTCTTTGTGTTTTGTTGTTCTTCTGCCTCTTCACCTTGTATATTTTGATTACCAACAGGCTTTAAAAATCTTAAAATTGACTGAAATATCAGCAATACACGCCGGGTCAGCTTGAAACTGCAGTCTAGGAATAACTTTTACAGTTTTTATCCGTTTGAGTTCAAACCTTACAGGATGGTAGAACTTTGTATTCCGAACAATCCTATGTTTTTCGTTTTTCGAAAATGAAGTCAAATGATTGACAGCAAAATTAAAAGTTCAATTAGTGACGTTAACAATAGATAACTTTTAAAGAACTTGCCAAGGAGGAAACACATGTGAACAATTTTTTTAAAAAAATGCTCAATTGCTTTAGGATGTGGCGAGCGTGTCATCTGCGCGCGCTTTAGCGTGTGCAAATCTTTCTTTTGAAATAGTCCTAGCTAATCCTTTTGCTGAATTAGCTGTTTCCGTCTTAGCTTAATATAATGGATGGCAAAACTTAATTGGCTGTGTTCATGCTCACTCTGTTTCACACCTCGACATACGCACACTGGCCCATAAACCAATAGCAAGAGAGGATAAAGGGGACAAAGAAGGCATCCCCCATATACACCCTATTCCAAAGGTAATTCGTCTCTAGTTATTTTTAAGACCATAGATCCCAAGGGGGATTAGACAGCAGCCAATCGCATGGCGCGAATGTGTTCCGCGTGGATGACTCACGCTCAGAGCCACGCGTCCTTCACGAATTGACGCAGAAAAACATGGCGGAGGACGCGGACATCGATATTGTTTTTTTTGTCGACGAAAACGACTAAAGAGAGATTTCTGCAAAAGCTGTGTCAGCGAGACGGAAATTAAAAAAGAATAGCCCTCCTCTCTTGTTTAGAGCTAACAGTACAGCAGGGAAATCCTTAACACACTGAATATTCTCTCAGGATCATTTATTATTTACATTTTGAAGAGACCAATTTCTGGTTTGATATTTATTCTTTTATTAGTCTTTTATTATTTAACAAAAATAACACTTGGCGTCCTATTTGCTTTATTATACAAACGTCCGGTTTCAATAGACCAGCGAAATTTCACATTTTATTAAAGCAGTGAGGTTACGACAACAAGAGTCCAGCGATTCCCTTTTCCCAGGTGAGCGCCGACTCATTTCTCTTCAATATTCAGAAATGCTTTCGATCTCTTTACGCTTTCATTGCCTTTCGCCCGACATGTTTTGCACGGTGTTTAGTCATCGAAACCTCTACGAAACACCCACCAAGCGCGCGAGGTAACTTTATCCCGATTCTAAAAATAACTCTGGACGAATTACCTATGGAATAGGGTGTGTATGGGGGATGCCTTCCCTGTCCACTTTATCCTCTCTTGCCAATAGTTAATCTTAAGGCTGCGCTTTGTATAACAAAACAAAACTTATGCAAAAGAGGGAGAGAGAGAAAAAAAATAATACTTTAGGTAAAGCTGATGCCTTTAGGTAGGGCCCGAACATTATCAAGTAATTTTAAGGCAAATTCATTACCTCTCGAATGCTCTGTCAGTGTTTTTTTCCCCCAAAATATAAGACTTTTTCTTTATAAACTTGCTGACACCTTAAAGCCGTAATTATCGAATAATGAATACCTTAAAATACTGACACACAGAAAAGCTTGTGGCAGTCGTCATAAGTGAATGCAAATCTGGCCCCGGTTGTCCAAACGTTGGATAGGGCGATCCATCGGATCGATCCCTTATCCAACGGATAAGTAAATGGGGAACCAATTACGCTATCCACTAGATAAAGATTAATCTGGATAGCGTTATCCACCTTTTGAACAACTGGGGCCTGATCTGCAGATATCTAAATGAAATCTACGTATACTGATACCCTGAAGTTAAGACTTTTGTTAACGGCCTCTAAATCGTCCTTTATATCAGCGACATCAGCGACGGCAGCAGTGAGCTCGTTTGCAGTTAAGTTAAGATCCGCATTTAAAATGCCAATCTCTGCGACTATCTGCAACGTAAAGTTCATTACAATACGGTTTTAGTAAACAGCAATTTATTTTGATAATGTTTGTATTCTAAAATCATGGTCGTGGTGACGTGTACGTCAACATTACCGTTATAATGGCATCCAAGTTTTTGAAAAAGAGTTTTTTTCACGAAAATAAGTTTTAATTCTATTTTTACCCCTAGAATTAGTATATTACACTTAAATTAGCGTTACTTTATCAAATTTGTCACCTTTGATGAAATCCAGGATTTTTGATGACTATAGTTTGACGAAAGACTTGAGTTAATATGACCAAATGGCAGGTGCTGAATTCAATTTTAAACAGTATTCATTTCTCTCTGAATTGCATATTTTGCAGATTTCTTTTTTGGCTTTCTAAGCATATTGTATACTCAGATCAAGATTTATATTAAAGTTTCCTCGATTTTTACGGGTTTTAAGCAAAATGGAACTATATAAATAATTCAAAATGACGGATCAGAGATAACGGATACTTCCAGTTCCCTTTTTAGTCATAAATGACTTCATCATGACATCACTTTAATTATATCCTAGCCAACTTCTTGATCTTAAGTAGTTTTTGCTTAATGTGTACTTTTAGGGAAATTTGGATTCTGCCAATAAATTCAACAATATGACGCCAATCAAATCATCCCTAGAAATGGAAATAATAAGCTTATTGTTCTGTGTAATTTTGATAACCATAGCATTAGCGGCTTTTAAGTTATAGAAGGGGGACCTCTGGAGCGCCCCAACCGCCCCCCCCGCCCCCCCTGGTTGCAGGATTACCGTAAAAAAGCCCGCTTTGAATGGGGTTTAAGAGCTAAAAAAAGAACAAATAAAGATAATTAAAAAAAGAAATTTAGATGCCGTTTCAAGAGTTCGACAGTACTGCCAAATCTTATCAAAAGAAGCGCTTGGGAAAAAGTTGCAAAGAAACCTTTTAAAAGGGCCTTAAAATCTTTGGAAGTTTAAGAAATGATGACCTTGTCAGTGTCTCAACATACCTTATTTTGTAACGTTTGGTTAACGTTTGCGACGATTAATTTCAAGCTATCGATCGCAGATTGTAATACAAGATCGGTACCGTTAAATACCGACTGTAATGCCAGTAAGTCACGATCAAGCTGGAGGGAAAAATAAAGTACATTTAAAGTGTTAGGCTGCGTGCAAACAGACGCAACATTGCTGACCAACAACTCCCAACATTGTTGGATGTTACATGTTGCGTCCGCTGTTGCATGTTGTTGGATGTTGTTGCTTGTTGTTGCGCAAAGCTTGAAACCGGTCAAACTTTTCAGCCAACAACTCCCAACATTTCTTTTGTTCCGTGATCGCAGAAACGTAGCGCAACAATGTTGGATCCGTTTGCGCAGCTCTTCCAACATTGTTGGGGCCACGCACGCTCATTACGCATGGTTTACAAAGGCTTATGGGTGTGTCCTTCCCACGATGCACTGCAGGTCCCAACATTGTTGGAAGTTGTTGCATCTGTTTGCACACAACTGCCAGCAACACGCACGCAACAACTCCCAACATTGTTGGCGCAACAATGTTGGGAGTTGTTGCGTCCGTTTGCGCACAGCCTTAGATACAATGTACGGGAGATTAACTTGCGCAACATTTTTCAACACTAAATTAACGATCTTCTTCACTTGTTATAACAGTGTATCAAGTTTTTTCCAAAACATTTATCGGCCAGGAGCCCTCACTTTTACATTAATGTGTTCAGTTATTAAGAAAATGGAAGGTTCTAAGAAGATAGAAATCAGTTATAGTATAATTACCCTTAGGTTGATTGTTGTGTTGACCGATCCCATTGAATCTTTTATCTCCGCATCATCAGTAATCAGTTGACTTCTTGTTGTGTTAATTTCATTCTCAAGTGCTTCAAACCCACTTTCTGCCTATAAGGTCAAACGGAACATGATAAAAAGTAATTGAACTGTATAAATCCAACTCAATTTTTAAGATTTTGAAAATTAGCCAGGTTTGTTTCGGAGGTGACTAAAATTCTACGCACTTGGGATATGCAGCTTAAAAGCTGGTAAAAATATTCTTAAGATGGCCCGAACCTATTTATTTTCTTCTAGGTATAAAACACTTGAGATATCGGCATGTTTTTAAATTCGCATTCTAACAAAAAATGTCAATAACTTCGAAACCCTACGACAGGCTTAGAGCTCTCTAGTTTTATTGTGTGTTTTCACATGACGTCATGGCGTCCATATTTGTGTCCTAAAACAATGAAACGGCGGCCATGTTAGTGTCCCAAACCAGTCCTGTGAGAGTTGAACTCTTTTCTTATGCAAACGCTTTCTTTTGTTCCAGTAAATTTGCATAGATGCTGGCCACGTGAGTGAAAACATAGAATATCTGCAAGTGTAAAGTCAATCGTGACCGAAGAACGCGCAGCACAAAATGCATTCACAGGGGTAGTTTACAATTGAGGATAATGAGAAGAATAAGACAACAGGTTGAGTTTGATCGTCCGGGTGAACGTAGTCCTGAATAGGACTGTTTTTGTTGACAGTGACTGACGTTTCGACAACCTGTGCGGTAGTCATCTTCAGAGTCAAAGTGAGTTGTATCACGTCAGTTGATGGTATTATACTCTGGTTATTGATCTGATTGGTCAATTATGTCGCGATGTTATTGGTCGTCTGTCAGTTAAGCCGTCATGTTATTGGCTATGAAGACTCGTAATCAGTAATTGGTGCGTTTCGATCCGTCTATTGTCACAGTTAAACAGTCGTCTATTGTTAGTCAAATTGTCATTTCTCCAGTTGTTCTCTCGTAGTTAGTTTTGCTTGATCTCGTCAATAAGTCGTTTGTACGGCGCTGGTAACTGTTGACTACGATTCAGTGGCGTTTGTTCTAAGTTAGTAAACCAGCTTTCTAAAGTAAGACGGTGATAGTAGTCTGTAGAATACGTTATACATGTCGCAGAGTCCCAGTCAATTTGATGTTTCGTCTTTAAATGGTGCTCAGCAATGTGATTGTTGACGTCACCATTCCTCGTCGCGCGTTTGTGTTCGGTCAGTCGCGTGCTTAGGTTTCTGCCGGTTTCACCAATGTAAGAAGCCCGGCAGTCGCAGCATTTGATCTTGTATTTGATCTTGACCTTGTCTGTCCTCCGGTTTGTCTTTGTCCTTGACATTAGTAAGCAGTCGCCGTAAAGTGGTTGTCGGTTTGTGCGCAACACGTATATTGTAAGGTTTGTAATATACGTGCAATAGTTTCAGAGGTGCCTCTGATGTACGGTATAGTCGCTGTCGTAACAGGGCCAGAGTTGGTCCGAGAGTTGGAATCAGTGTTACTGTGAGTGTTCCGTCTAACAAAGTCCGTGTTGTAATTGTTCTTACTAAAAACGTTGTTAAGATAATCAGTCTCGTCAACGTTTTTAGTAAGAACAATTACAACACGGACTTTGACAACTCACTTTGACTCTGAAGATGACTAACGCACAGGTTGTCGAAACGTCAGTCACTGTCAACAACAACAGTCCTATTCAGGACTAGGTTCACCCGGACGATCAAACTCAACCTTTTGAAAGGACTCCTGGGTTCAAACCTTTCACAGTTTCAAGAATAAGACAATTGTCATACTTTCTTCATCTTTATTCCCAAGTGGCAAACTACCCCGCCGTGCGAATGTGATGACAAGTTTGTTGAATAATATACAAGTACAAAGGCTTTCAGCGCAACTGAAAATGGAATGTTAGAAGCACTGGAGTTGGTAGCTTTATTTCCCCTCAAAACGGAAACCTGCGACGCTAAAAACTGTTGAGAGTTTTTCGTATATGCTATATTTTGCTTTGTCAAGATTGGTTGCGAAAACAGAGGGACAGACACAAAGTAAGTTTGATGAATAGATGTTCTTTAATCTTGCCCCGCATTCAGCATAAAGTTGTTCTTCTTGTATTGCGAACTGTAATATCGTCGTAGGTTTCTGATCACTCAGTTTTTTTGCAGTAAAGCTTTTGGCAAGAATACCGTATGTTGCACTCGCAGATAGGATCGAGATAGTCCTTCGGCACTCTTCCTCTATGTGTTAGCGTTGCATCTAAAGGTTAAATTGGACCCGCAGTTTGTGCGGCGAGTCCTACGGTCAAGATTGACTTCAAACTTGCAGATATAAAACTAGAGAGCTGTGTGGCTTATTTGCTGAATTTAGGGAAAAAATGATCGTAGAATTTCGAAGTTATCAATATTTTATATACCAATGCTGTTTTGAGTATATGCCGATATCTCAAACGTTTTTATTCTTATAAGAAAATAAATAACTTTTTCTTAAAGTTCTACCATTCTTTATCAAGGATACCAAACATCATAGAAATCGGTTAAATCGTTCCTGCCGAAAAACGCGAATAAAAAACAAAACAAACCGCGCATTTAAATAGTTTCGGGCCACCTTAAACCTTTACTCGGAAATTCAGTCACGTTAAAAGTCAATAAAAACAAATAGAACACTCTGTCATAAAAAATATGATTCTCTTCTATACTAATAAACTAAATTCGATTTTGACTCAACATTACGGCTTTGCAATGACAACTACAAAACGCGTTTTCCCCAAAATGCTTCATAAATGGGTACTAATTAAAATTAAAAAGAAAAGAACCTGGCTTTAAATCCATTTTTCTATTTCTACCTTTTTTTAGCCGAGCTCTTGCTCGCGAAGCGCGTCAGCGGAGCACCATTGGTAAGAAAATGAAGTAATCTACCCTTCCGAGAACGTTTGGTAATCACGTGACCGTACACCGCCCGCCCGCCCGAGGGACCGTCCGTCCGCACCACAGGCATACCAATATAAAATATCTCAATCAACAGGTATGGCAACCCAAATGCAACTCGAGGTTGTTTTGGCGGGAAATGGCATAGCCACCGGCGTCTTGTAAAGCAGAGACAACAAAAGAGTCAATAAACATGAAAAAGGAAAGCAGAAATTGTTTCTGTATCCGTGTTGTCTAAAGTATTAAGCTTAGATAAATTGCCATGTCCACAAATTTGGAATATAGAGCAAGAGAAAGACGGAGAAAAAGAGAAAGTGGGCGCAGGTCCGCACAGTTCAACGAGAAAAAGGGCGACAGGGATTTAGAGCGAGAGATAAAAAACCGAAGGACACATTTTTTGTTGGAAGAACAAAAAAAAAAAAAAAAAAAAAACTGAAAATTTTATATCGGTGGTGACAAAATGAGAAATTCTAGTGGCCACCAATGCGAGGTGAAAATGAGCGGCAGTGAAAAAAAGTGAACGGGAACACGTACGACATTTCCTCTGTAAAACGTGTAACTAAGACGTTTCTGGAAGTTTCACCTTGTTTTCGTGCAAAACAACGGCAAAGAAATGTACAAAAAAGTGTGCTGCACATGCAAAGTTGCTTTTGCTAATTATACCTGTTGCTGTTTTTCATCGTTTTCCGGCGTTGCATGCCTTCGCCGCTTAATTAGCATCACACGATTTTATATTTTCTTTGAACAAACTATAAATATTATCGAGAGCTTCGCTTTTAGCCCTGGCTAAATCTGTATACTATTTTAACTGATAACGATGTTGATAATGATATGATAACGATAACGGTGACAAATCGTACAGACGGAGAATACGTCCATCGTTGCCGCACTTTCTATGCTGAAGGTCTGGATAATTTTCAGCGAATTTTAATGGTTACCTTGTCATGGAGTGAGGAATTGACATGTTGCAGTTTCCACAGAAGCTCTTCGTCTTTTAGTCGAAGATAAGCAGCTGTATTATTCAACTAAAAAGAAGTAAACTTGTGAAAGTGAGTTCTTCACAGTGTGTGAACACCGGTATGAAAATTCTTATTTGCATAATCATGGTGCATCCAATTTTTAGTCTTGCCGTTGCTGCTGTTGCCTCAGCTTTTTATTTCTGACAAGAACAATTTAAGCTACAAGGGCGGCCATGAACAAACATTTAAACAGACATCACTCTCTGAGAAGAATTATTGGTTTACTTTGTGTGATTATCTAGTAAATCAAAACTAATTACTAGTTAGGATTACTGTTGCACTGCCAATTACTATAATCAGATTCAGATCTGTTTAAGATGGACAAATTTGAGCAGCCTCACCTTTGAGTTAAGTGTATCGTTGGCTTTAATAAGAGTGCTCATCAGTGTATTATCTTCGTTTTGCAGAGTGACAAAATTTCGATCAACCTAGAAAAACAGGTTAATAACTGTTAAAATCCATACTGTGTGAATGTGTGTAGGAGGTGGATGTGGGTGAGCAGAAGTCTGTTTCGAAGCTTCGATAGCAAAGAAGTTATATAGAGCTTATATTTTCATCCCAAAAAAAAAAAAAAAAAGAAAGGAAGAAATTGAAACATTTCCGGTCTTTGCTGTCCAAAGGTTAGACAATGCTCTTCATATGGTAACGTGCTTTACTAGGTTAACTACCCTTATTTTTTGCATTTTTGTTGATAGCGCGGGGCCGCGCGTGTTGATAATGTTTGCTAGCCCCTTACAAATAAGTAACCTGTAGGTTTAGTTGTTTTACATCAATTTATAATCAATAATGAGTACACAAGTGTTACCTTTTCATTTATCGAGTTGTTCATCAAGCCAATAGAAGTTTGTAACTTGTGTTCCGACGTTTGCAACTGCACAGTGGTGTCATTGATCTAAAATAATCATTACTAAGATTGTCCTTTACAACTTTAAGCAAACAAACGTTATTGGTAGATTTCAGTTGCTGTTGCTGTTGTTGCTGTGATGGAGCTTTTGTTTTCTCCTATTGTTTGTTTGCTTGTTTCTTCAAGGGCGGATTTAGGGGTGGGCCCAGGGGGCCCCGGCCCCCCTTTTGTGGCTTATTAAATATTTCAGCATTACATGTTCAACAAGGAATCCAGGCATTTGATAAATTTAAGCGTTTAGAATGCACTAGATTGCATCTCAGAAAACTTCAACCCCAAAGTTTTTCCCGGAGGAGCATGCGCCCGAAACTCCCTAGAAAAGTGCGCCGTTCGCAGTCCTGATGGGCGCTATCGAGCCTATATTGCCACTGTATACTATATCCTTAGGCCCCCTCTATCACAAAATCCTCCGTCCGCTCCTGTCTTTTTGTGCGTGTGCGTGTTTGAGGGGTTAAGAACAGAAAGTGAATAGCAGCTTAAACTACTGATATGAATGAACAATTTGCAGCGAAACGAAATGAGCCACCTTACTCCTCCACTCTACTTCGCTTCTTTTGTTCCGATGAATAGTTGTTGAGGGAAGTAAAACAGACAAGATATAGTTACTTACCTCGCTCGTCAGATTCTCTTTAATTTCTTGCATAGATACTGACAATTCATTATCGCTTATCTGGAGCTGGACCCTCGTCATATTTAACTGTGTATTCATAAATGAAGTATATATTTAATAACTATTCCTCCGAGTCAATAGCCCATGAGACCGAAGGCCGAATGGGCTATCGGTTTTGTTAAGTTTGTGCTGGGAGTGGGACGCCAACAAGATCTGTATTTGCATCTACATCTCTTGAAAGTTTACATTTTCACTGCCCATTTTGAAATTCGAAAACTGATTTTTGGGGGCTATGTGATGTACAACTGAATTGTGACATTAGCCGCCAGGTTTTCTTTTTGGCACAAAATATATTTCAACTTTGAATTAAATTCAGTCTTTTTGTCTGATAAAAAGCAAATTACACGGTGGCTTGAAGATATGAATTTTAATTTCTCGTGTTGAAAACATCACTCGAAAATAAAATCCATATCTTTTCCCAAACCTCTATATATTTTTAGTTATGGCGTATTTACGTAAACCTGATGTTTATTTGTATTTACGTAGTTTACATAAACCTACAGTAAAATCTCGTAACGCGACCTCCGTCCTCTCGACCCTCATGGGAACTAACGGTGATGTTACATTGCAAAATATTATTAAAAGTGCCTTTAAAACTAAAATTTGTGCTTTTAATGGCCCTTGTTCACGATACCCAACCTATGTGCACGCCCTTTAGGATCAATGGGATAGAAAGCCAAGAAGACCGGTCAGGATTGAATAAGATTCATAAGTTCGATAATGCATTTACCTCGTTGAATAAAGTATGGCTGACATTTATTATCCGGTTGATAATGTCGTTTTCTGTTGATCCTAGTTCTTGAGCAGTGTCATTTAGCTATCAAGGAAACATTTACGAAGAGATAAGTATCAGGTAAATAATAGTCACACCTGAGTCTCCTCGTAACCATGGCCTAGTCAAAGCCTACCTCTGAAGCCAGGTTTGCTTGAACTGCTTCTAGCTTATTTGTCTTGTCAAACTAGCAGATAAGGATTAAAAGAAATAAATGAATGTTACTATATTAAGAAAAAACTTGAATAGACAATTATGCGCAGAATCCAAGGATGGTGTTTTAGAATCATTGCATGGTGATGAATAATTCCCTGCTAGCAGAGGTTCTTCACGCCAAAAGAAGAAGGAGGGGAAAGAGAGATCGAGAGACCCCTGCCAGCCGCCGACGTGTTGATTCATATAACAGCCGACCACATTTGTGGACGAAACCAACTGGCTTTGAAAACCAGTTTCGTTTAACGTGGAATGCGTGTTCCCTGTTGAGACTGAACAGTGGCGATTTCTGACCCTATCGTTGTTATTGACCAAATCGGTTTTGTAAGTTGTGTCACAGGTGACTAAAACGTAACTGGTTGTTTAGAAAACACCAATACATGCTTGATCGGAACACCCATCGAGGCCAGGAAGAGGTATATCTCTTTCCTATGATTTTTCTCTCGCCGTGAGAGGCCTTGTTAGAAGGGAAGGTAGACATGTCCTCGTCTTTTAATTCAAAACATTGCCCTGTCAGTTTCACCCGGTCCTGTGTACTGAAGACTTGCAAATTTAAGTTTCTCCTTGTAACTCTGTTATTTTTCATGGTTCAATGTGATGACTGGGTGATACTGAAACCAATCGGTAAAATCAAATTTATTTATTGCAAGGACAAAAAGACAAAGGTAAATGAGCAATTTAATAATCATGCTACTATTTTAATTGATACGGCAGCAAATCTTATTTCACTGTTCAGGGTATTACAGGAGCTTATGACATAAGCAGGAACATAACCGCAGATCTATGTGACGTAAGCGCTAGCACCACAACTATAAGAATGAATGAAATTTTCCATTTTCTTCTGCCTTGGTGTATGCTTGTGTCATTGGTCAAACGTAATCCATGGGGACCATGGATAAGCACCCTCGCTTTTAGAACACCCAGGCGCTTAAAGTCTTCGCCTCAGAATTCGAAGGGACGCCCGCTCAACAAGTGTTAATGAATGCAGATCGACTTGAACCAAACAAAGTACATTACTAGATTTCTTCAAGAAATATACGGGCAGAATTGACCGAAACGACGTAGAAAGACTACTATTGAGGAAAGCAGGTAGCCCAAGCTCGAAATATGAAAGATGGCGAACATCGGTTAATAGTGTAATGCAATATCCGGAAATATAAGGATTTGTATTCTCTATATATAGAAAACCGTTTACATAAAACTCATAAACGGCCGTAAATCGCCCGTGGACCATTTAAGTGAGGTAAGTTTTTATTGAAATCTTTCATTTTCGTAGGTTACCGAAACGATAGGTTTTTTTCCCATACAAATCTTTATATTTCGAATGTTACGCAACAGCCGATGCTCTTATTTCTGAGCTTGGGCTACCTGTGATGTAAGTATCCAACTCATTAATTAAAAGTTTAACCTTTATTTAGTGGAAACTTCTATACCTGGCCATGATTTAACGCCTTCATTTAGTTTAGTTGTTTTAGTGAATTGCAGTCTGAACTAAGTAATTTCACAGATACACATAAATGAAAAGATCTAGTCAAATCAAATCAAATTGCAAGTTTAGAACTTTGAAATTAGATTTAGGAATAGATACCCAAGTTTACATCAGTTAACCATAAACGCCTTTCAACCGTGTTCTGCTATGTACCTTTTTCTAAACCCTCATGATTTCAGTTACATTTGCGAATCAGTTAATAACATGCACAGTCTTAATTTACCAAATCCTGCTGCAATCTTGTCATGTTATACTCTAATTCCTTCATCCTGGCCAATATCTCGTTATCCGATGTAACTCTCTGTGCTGTCACGGTAGCTGTAATAAATAGATCATCGCATCACTCCGCAAGTTGTATAACTACATTGTGTACATGTTTAAAAAGGTGATCACGGATAAACGCCTACTTTAGCTTGTGAACTGCGTACATTGTAAAGGGATGACAAAGGAATTCTGCTGCCCACCGCGATTAACAAATCCCTCTCATAGCATGTATCCTACATTGGCTGTGTGTATTCGTAGTAGGATGATTTATAACAATGTCTAAATGCAATTGCGCATCGCGACTACTTTTCTAGAACTTACAACTTACAATCTAGACCAGAAAATCTTCTGGTAGCCGGCCCTGCAGAAGAAGTAATAGTACCAGTTATCACTATCAAAGAGGAACCCACAAGCTAGGCAGTTGATAGTGGGTTCACGTATCTCGGCGACAGACTTTCCAGATATCTGAGAACATCGATGACGAGGTCAATTAACGCATTACCAAGACCAGCTCAGCTTTCGGACGACTGCGTGAAAGTGATTGGGCAGGGAGACGTTCCCCCCTGACTTTAAAACTGAGGGAACGCAAGACAGTAATGTACTGTTCTCACTACTTTCTGCCAGTTATCCATGTGCAAACTACGAGTACCACGCTAAATGTGAAAACTACGCTAAAACTGTTAAAGATCACTTGGCTTGACTAAATTCCTGACACCGATCTCTCTCTCTCTTGGCCTCCCAAGCATTCACGCTCAACTCAAAAGAGCCTGATTAGTTAGGCTTGCCATCTTGTCAGAATGCAATGAGAAACGCCCGCGCAAAATTTCTATTCTACTGAGAATTAGCGGAGAAGAAACGCTCACGGGGTGGACAAAACAAGCGCAAGAAATATGCGTGTGTCAAAGGGTCCCTGAAAAGCGTTGACGTTGTTGTTGAAAACTCTGACACCCTGGCTGGCAATTGACTGACCAGCCTAGCTCTCTTAGGAGAACAGAATAGCAGAAGCTTAGAAGAAGCGCTAGCAACGCGAGCCTAAAGCAATCTTTTGGCCAGCTGTCAGAGAAATTCACCACTTTATCATACTAATAGTGTCGGAAATTTTAAGTACTGAACCGAGACTTCGCGAAATACGGATTATAGTGTATTTTAACACCAAGTATGCTACTTATCCGCCCATTCCGATATATCTGTGTTTGTGTGTTTTTCTGATGTTCAATGCATTTTCTGCTCTTAAACAAACACTCCACACAGGGTGGCTCTTTCCATTTAATTTCAGCTAAAGTTTATTTAATTTTGGGAGTCGGTTACAAGTGGATTCTGCGGAATTGTGAACATTAATACCTTTTTTGGTGCCCAAATTTGCTTCTTCATGTTACTCCTACCATTAGAAACTAATCATTGTTAGTGAAGTTACTAATAAGTATACGGGGCAGTATGGGCATGTCTAAGCCAATTGAAATTAAGCCTTATGACTAAATTCAAAGTACTTAGGACAGCATTCCAGACGTGAAAAAAATAGCCTTTTCTTTTTCTTTTTTTACCTTTTATTCATTTTTGTACCAAGCAACGCTACCTCGTTGTTTCTAATAACCTAGAACATGATTTCCTTTTAACTACGCTTAAGTTTTGCAAGTTATAGAAACGTGTCGAAAAGCTATCTGCTAAAAGTCTAAAATTATCAAAAATTATATTAAAAAAATCCTACGGATGACGGTAACAGAATTATCAGCATTGTTTTTATTAATATTGTTTTTGCTATTATCACTGTGATGTTAAACTACTGATTGTATAAGTCAAACAATCTACAGGGTTACTCATCACGCGATTTGTTTACTACTAAAAACTGAAAGCTAGCACGTTTTGTACTGCTGAAAAAAAATATTAAAAATCATGAAAAATAGAGAAAATGTTACAAACCAAAAACCTAACGATGGATTGATTTCCTTATCCTTTTTAAAATTCTTATTTATATGGAATAATCACTGAGAACCAAGCAATTAGATTGTAACGTCTAAAATTCAAGAGACTTTACTTTGGATAAAAGCAGAACCTGAAAAGATCTTCGAGCTCTAACTTTCCTTTAGGGCAGAAGCTAAACACTCCCTTTACATTTGGTCCTCGTTGCAGCCGCATTTGTAGTGTATTTTTCCGAAAACATCAACAGATTAAGCACCAATGCAGCAATGGATACAGCGAGCAAAGAGCAACTAGCGTTGATAGGGCTCCGATTTGAGATCCATGAGTTGCAACAACCTTGCCCGTAATCACAACTTGACTTCCCTTTGTTGCTTCCATGGGTCATCATAAGGCTTCAGCCATCTTTACAATTTATTTATGAACATGGGTACGTGATTTGTCTTTTCATTGGAATTGAACTAGATTGCTTCTCGTCATCTTTGTATTAATCTTCAAAGTTGGATTGACGACGATTCGATCCCTCTGGTACATTGATGGTTTTCTTTTTTCCGATTGTCGAAGCCCCAAGCCCCACACTTCAGCACTGAAATGAATCTTGTCGATGAATTGTTGTTTTCGGCTGGAAATATTCTAGTGTGTATTCAGTTATTTTAGAGTGAAGTTCATTATTTAGAATTTTTTGGTTCATGAATTCCTTTTTTTAATTGATTACACATCAATATCGTTGCCCCCACAAAGATTCTTTTCTTTCTTTTTTTTTTTTTTTTTAGCTTGAACGCATTATCATCATCTTTGAAGTTGCAGCAAGCGAAACATATTAAGTTAGATCAAGAAAGCAGTGCGCATATATATGTAATTCCAGTCACAGTGATGACGAACTGATGAGGCCAGAGGCAACTAAACCTAGCGTTTCGATCGGTATGTCTATGTTTGTCGGAATTAAAATGTGCTGTGCAGAAAGCCTCTTTTAATTCAAAATTATTATTTGGCATTAAGGTATTAGCATTGTTTGGGAGCTAAAGGATTGTGGGGACTACTAAGGTAACAATATTATTGTTTCCTTTTAAAAAATAAACGTTATGTGCAAAGTTGGAACATGAGATGGCTGCCCTAATTGTTAACCTTTAGATCACATACAAATTCTCCAGTCATTTTGCTTAGAATTCGTTAAGATATTTGATAAAAGATCAAGCAATTTCAACGTACGTAACTTCA